CCCATTCCATCTTGCATGACTTAAATACTAAAATTGTGCTGTATTGTTGTCGTGAGTCAATTCTGAGCAGAACTCACACAGACCAGAGAGCCTGCGGCAATCTGGGAAATAAAGGATCGGTCAGTTAAAAGTCATGTGACTGGAGTGTGAGGCGGTGAACGTCACCCGATGTTAAAATGCCACATTCTTCTATGGTTTATGGTTCATGTGAAACTGAATGAAAACGAGGTAGTGAGAGTGACCGAGAGCAACCTTCATACAGTACGTATACACGTGCATACTGTACACATCCTTTTGCTGTCCTTCTCACCCTCTCTCTCTCTCTCACTCTTTCTCTCTCCATCACAAACACATTACCTTCTTCCGGTGGGAGAGGAAGAAGAGGGAAAGGCCGATCAGTAACAGGACGGTTCCCAGAACCATCAGGACGTAAGGGAAGTTTGGAACAATCTTCACAACCAAAAGCAGCTTCTGCAGCTTCTCAGCTGATGCGTCGTCAATCACGACAGACTAAAACACACACACACACACACATACACACACATATGGTTGTACGTTACACACAAACTAACTCTTTTTTAATCAGTGTGTAATTGCTGATTTGGAGAAGTTTTCTGTAGGGAGATTTTAGCCTTTATGGAAGGAGTCTCCAGTGTCAGCACGGTGTAAGAGTTTGTAACAGTACTTAAAATGTGTTCATGCTTCCTATACATTTAGTTTTTGTGTAGCTGTTCAATGAAAGATCTGTACTTAAGAGATACATTCGTCTGGAGCAACAGAAAATGCTAGACAAACATGTCCTGGTTGATCCTTCAGGCAAAAAATCTACAAATGTATTCGTTTTGATTGATTTATTTATTTTTTTAACTAAATTTGAAAGTCATAATCATCTCTTACCTCGTTGAGGAACATGATAGGGAAGATGATGCCATTCAGGTTTCTGGTCATTCTGCAGAACACACAAACACACAGACTTTGTGAAATCCAGACAGTGCCGGGCGCCATTAAAAAAGAAAGAAAGAAAAACGATGCGAACTTACGGAAATCCGGTAATTCTATCAAGTTGAATGTTTATCTGGGCTCTTTTAGCAGCACGCACCGGCACACCTGTAGTCTGCACACACACACACACACACACACACACACACACACACACACACACACACACACACACACACACACACACACACACACACACACGCATGTAGTTGTACTTTTAAAAGCACAAAAACAAATCCTATACTCCCAATCAGTTACTCAATTTATCACAGATAGTATATATTGATATTTATGCTTTGATAAATGTTAAGTATTGCGTTTAGATGCTGTGCTGCTACACAATCACCACTAGAGGATTAAAACGAACGTTATATTCCGATACAAAGGAAAAAAAAGGGAATATATTTAAAACATGTAGACCTCCATATGTATAGTTACACTGTCAGTTTTATAGAGTTTTATAACAACATAACGTACTTGTGACACCCACACTACTTCGATCAGTTATGAAACACTACAATAAGATAATATACATTATCCCTTTGTTTTGGTCATTAAATTAAGTCCTTACTGACGACTGAAAACAGGGGAGACAATAAAAGTGTAACATGTAATAATCACCACTGTGGGTTACCATTTAAATAAAATACACAAGAGTGCTAATTTAAAAAAATAATAATAATAAATAAAATAATTTCCTGAGTGTAAGATAATCAGATTTACTGAACGGTTGTAGTCGATGCAAAGAGGAAATTTGCTTACAGGGTTCAGATCGAGGAAAGTCTGATGATGTTCGTGCACTGGTGAAATTCCCTCTATGGCTTCGACGTATTTTTTATCAGCCAAGTAGAAATGAGGGAAAGAGACGATGACCGGAGCGCCTGGAAGAGAAAGATAGATTACATAGTAGATGAGAACATGGACAGGAGAGAATGTAAGAGGAGCGAGAAGAGAAGAGGAGAAAAGAAAAGCATTATATAACAAGCTCTCGATGCGATCATTGGACACCGATAGCTATCTTATCTATTACAAATTGTCCCTCTCGGTGTGTGTTGTGGTTCCCAGCACTGCTTTCATGTCATGTTCTGTTTACATTGCCATGTGCTTCTGTTTTATTCCTGTCTCTGCCCCATCCTGTCATTACTTGTTACCTTATTGTGTTCACATGTTCTGTGTTTAATTCTCATTTAGCGTGATTATTTACACACTGCTGGTATATAAACTCTTTGCAAAGTCTTACAACCCATTCATGTTATTATGCGTAAGCTATGATTGCCTTGTGCTTCATTTCAGTGTTCTTTGTATAATATTTTCTGGTTTGGACCATAGCCTGTTTGCTTTGATTCGTGAATGGCCCTTAAGAAAGTACATAATGTTACACACTTCCGCCTTTATGTTACAAGATGAATACTTCACAGGTGGCTTTGTGGCAAAGAAATAAATACATAAATAACCGCACCCTTACTTTTCAAGAACATAAAGAAATATCCTGTTTTTCACAACCACAGAACACATACTTGAAAATGACATGTGAACTCACACCCAGGGTGGGACTTTTGACATGACCACAACCTCTCTCCTTTGCAATTTTTACCCCTTACGTTTCCTTACAAGATAAACTTTGTTATAAGTAAAGAAAGTACATCATTACCCTTTCTGTGACACGGAATTCTAGCAAACCTCTACACCAAGGGAGCGACCGTTATCATGATGGCATGTCTAAAAACATTTGCAACTAAGGTTACTGAGAATGTGACGTGGAAAAAGAAGGGGAGGAAAGGTTCATGGTGGTACAATTGTATCCATGAAACCTTTGCAGTGTTACAAATCAAAATCCTGTTGCACAACTGAGGTTGTTTCAAAACTTCCAAAAATCGTTTACACACTTCTGTCCTCCCTGTGGCTTCCACTGGCTTCATGCTGCAAACGTCAAAACACTTGTGTTTCAGACGTCCTCATAATCTACGACCCCTATTCCCAAAAAGTTGGGGCAGTATGGAAAATGCTATGCTCAACAAAATGTTGAGCCTTCAACCATTTTGTAAGCTGGTCTGGGTAGCAGCCTCTTCAAAATGACTAAATATAAATGTAATAATCGACTAAACTGTCCACTCATTATATCCTTCATGGATTCAATGAACCCACACCACTCTACTAAGTCCATGATCATTCCAGTCCATGACCAGTGCATTCTACCAAGTTGCCAAATATTTTCATTACATCACCTTACAATATCGTCCACGTTGTGCTTCAGTCCTGCTTTCAACTTGTCCTTATTAACCTCTCTGATTATTTGGAAATCACTTAGACCAATGAGACCAATGCGTTCAACCTTGGCAGCAAGCACAATGCTGGTGAAGCCATTTTCTTGGATGTTTACGTAAAAGTAGCTGAGCGATTTTAATTGCTCTAGCTTACCAAGGGTGTGACCTTTGTCACTAGAACATCATGTCCCATGAGCTTAGCCAAACTTTGAAGACTTTTTGGCTGTCTGTTTCTTTTTCCAGTTATTTTATGCACACGATGTACATCCGTTATTCCACTCTGTGCTCTATGACCCAAATACCTTCTGAGACAATGATCACTACACAATGGCTTAATGGGCAATCTATAAAACAGTTTAAGCTCCTTTAGGTTTTAGCTCACAGCAGACATTCCTGTTATTAAAAAGACATTTGCACTGTTTCTGCATGCTCAATAAGTTTCCTAAAGAGACATTCAATTCATGACTAAACATGTCATGATTACATAAAAAACACACACACACACACACACACACACACACACACACACACACACACAAAAACCACACATGGAAGCTGTAGAAATCTGAAATGGATCACGTGTGGCCAAGGATTTTTGCTCATGTACATTCATGCAGTTATCTAATCGTCCAATCAGGAGGCAGCAGAGCAATGCAAAAAAAAAAAGTAAAATCATGCAGATACACGTCAAGAGCTACAGTTAATGTTCACATCAAACAACAGAATGAAGAAAACAGCTGATAAGCAGAAAAGCATCTCAGCATGCACAAAATATCACCCATGCGGTGGATGGACGGTAACAGCAGAAGACCAAATTGGACCCCAACGTGGTCTTCTGCTGTTGCAGCACATCCACCTCAAGGTTCGATTTGTTGTGCATGCCGAGAAGCTTGTCTGCTCACCACAGTTATAGAGAGTGATCATTTGAGTGACTATATCCTTCCTGGCAGCTCAAACAAATCTGGCCATTTTCCTGTAACCTCTCTTATCAACAAGGCGTTTCCACCCACAGAACTGTTGTTTTTTTCACACCATTCTGTGTAAACTCTAGCGACCATTTTGTGTAAAAATCCCAGGAGATCAGCAGTTTCTGAAATACTCAAACCAGCCCCTCTCGTACCAACAACCATGCTTTCCCCCCACGCCGATGTTTGATGTGAAACGCTTGACCTGTATCCACATCATTTTTTGCATTGCCCTACTGCCACGTGACTGGCTGAATAGATAACTGCAGGAATGAACCTCTTGTACAGGTTTTCCATAGGGAAAACACAGTGTTTGATGAACGTCCCTTCTTTAGGAGGAAACACAATACCTTAAAAGAGTATTAGGCGACACACACATTTCAATTGACTTCTGTAATTCTGTGGCTACATATTGCTATAAAAAATTCTGTACCCCTGCATACCACTAACCTCTTAACCATAACTTAACCATTTCATTTCACTTCACTTCTTTTAGATACAAGTCCATCCATCCATCCTCCCTCTACCGCTTACTCCTTTTCAGGGTCGCGGGGAACCTGGAGCCTATCCCAGGGAGCATCAGCGCACAAGGCGGGGTACACCCTGGACAGGGTGCCAAGTACATCGCAGGGCACAATCACATACACACTCACACACTACGGACACTTTAGACATGCCAATCAGCCTACCATGCATGTCTTTGGACTGGGGGAGGAAACCAGAGTTCCCGGAGGAAACCCCCGCAGCACGGGGAGAACATGCAAACTCCACACACACTGACTGGGACTCGAACCCCGGAGTCCGAGGAGGTGTGAGGCGAACGTGCTAACCACTAAACCACTGTGCACCCTTTTGGATACAAGTTTTTCTTTTAATTAGATCTTTTTACATTGTTTTAATAAAATCCTCAAGGCTACATACATGTTAGCAGTTTGCCCAACTGGATAATAGAATTCCCACACTGCCACAGTGTTATACAACATGTCATGTAACAAAATGAGAAACTGTAAGCTGATACTGTGATGTCTGGAAAACATATTGGCTGTCAAACTCTGAATGTATTACACTGTTCCACAACAAGCTGCCAAATATCATTTGGGTCCTCACATCTAGAACAGGTTACTTCAGCGTACAAGGTCACAAGACTGAAATAAATGACACATACCACACTCAGTCACACGCACACACATACGTACACAAGTACACACGCACACACAGTCATAGAACACTAATATGATGTGTTAGTGGGACAGAGGGGACCGTTTTCCAGTGCGTGTGTTTGACAACAAAGAACAACTGAGCATTTGTGCTGTGTGTGGGGGAAAAAGGAACAGAAAGAGAAATGGAGTCTTTTTTGTTTTATATGATTATTGTAAGCAGAGTTACATAATATTGTACTGTTTTATTTTATTTTGAGACCATGGTTTCAGCAGCAGGTGGGAGATTAGAAATGAGTCAGGACTTCTGTGTCAGGTGACGAGGTTTAGAGAGAGATAGAGAACATAATGGTGGTGTGTGTGTGTGTTGGGGGGGGGTTTGGGGGCTTAGGGAGTTAGATGCCTAAGCTCTGAGAGAAAGTGTTTAGTTATAAACCCATATCTGATGTACACATTACACTATGAACTGTAGCTGAATTAGAATAACATGAAGAACCTAAGCTAATGCATGGCTAGCTGGCACCACATCATTACTTCACTTATAAAGAAACAACAAAAGAGTTTTCTAGTTAGGATGTAAAGCTGAGACATAAGATTAGTTTTACTGGCCTAAGACTAGTGTCTTTATAATGATATGCACAACAGTCAATGACCCTAAAAGACTGCGGTTGCGGTGGCTTAGTGGTTAGCACGTTCGCCTCAAACCTCCAGGGGTTCGATTCCCACCATGTGTGTGCGGAGTTTGCATGTTCTCTCCGGGGGTTTCCTCCCACCAGGCCAAAGACACGCGTGGTAGGCGGATTGGTGTGTCCGTAGTGTATGAATGTGTGTGAGTGTGTATGTGATTGTGCCCTGCAATGGACTGGCACCCTGTCCAGGGTGTACCCCGCCTTGTGCCCGGTGCTCCCTGGGATAGGCTCTAGGTTCCCCGGCGACCCTGAACAAGGAGTAAGCAGTAGAAGATGGATGGATGGATGGATGTTCTAGCTATAGGTTTCTAGTTATGCAATTATTGAGGCTAATTACTACAAAAGTCATTACTTCTTTCCCATCAATTCCCACATTTTAGCGATATTTTGGTTACTAGCATTTCAAATGCCACTGATTGTTCACAGTGTGATTCATTCAATTTTTCACTGTCACATTGTGATATGTTTGGAATGTTCAGCCAACCTAAAATTAATGTATAATTTTTGGAAAGTAAAAAAAACAACCAAAAAAAATAACATTTAATCATGCAAATTTTGGGTATTTGGGTCGTATAATAAAAATCCAACGACACACACAGCTGTCGTTAGAACAATCATTAACATCTGGTTAATGTTCAACTTAAATACTGATAACCAAGCTAAATATAGCAGCGGGTGTTTTGCAAGTGATGCATGTCTACTGACCTTCTTGGATTCAATGTGAATTTGGTGAGTAATAATTGAAATGTTTTTGATTCAAATTTATTGTTTTTATTACAGATGACCGATTTAGGTCTATGGTCTATTTTAAAGCAAATAATTAGTTTGATATGTAAATTATAGGCTATATTTGTATAGATTTATTATAGGCTAGATTCAACTTAAAAATTTTACAAAAATTTAAAAAATTCTTATTGTTATTATTAATTAAGCCAATTTTTTTAATTAATGACCATTTATATCATTCATATCCCATTCATAAAATCTATAGCATAAATGTACTAAAATATAGCCATTTATATATAATCTAGAAATTTAGCAACGGCTAACAGCATCTAAGCAGCTAAACAGATGTAGCGAATGCTTATCTTGCGCTGGATGAACGTAGAAAACCAAACTATATAAATTCTGTGAACGTAAAACAAAGTAGCACTGACAATTTATGACATGGCTCATATAGCTTTGTCTATTAGTAGCCATCTATTATTGTTTGCCAACCTTACATCTTTTTCTGAGAGTCTTCGTGACAATAGCCAGAAATCGAAGCTGATAATGTGTATGTAGTACAGCCATGTTAAGTGCATGAAAAATTTCAGCTTGCTTTATGCTGAAACACAAATATTTCATTGAACTAAAATGCGTAGAGTTTGGAATGTTTAAAACGGCAGCCGGTTTTGGGCAACATGCTAAAAATAAAGCTTTTTTTAAGTTTTTTTAAGTATTATATTAGTGTCCTCCACAACTAACTATGTGTGTGTGTTTCAGATAAATACTTTAAAACATAAAAAAAATAAACTTCTAACCTGCCACTGCTGGGCCCTAGAGAAAGGCCCTTAAACCTCAACTGCTCAGTTGTATAAATAAGATAAATGTAAGTTGCTTTGGATAAGGGCATCTGCCAAATCTAAATAAATGCATATTTTAGTTGAACACTCACTCAACCCTGAGCACATTCACCCCTGATTGAAATATTTCGAATCGTCTAAATTTAAAATTAAAATGTTTTTATTTTATTTTTTTATTCTATCCTGATACTTATCTAAAAGCAAAGTAACCTATTCAACATCGGAAATAATAATAATAATAATTTAAAAAAGTAGAGTTAAAAAAAAAATGTTTGAAGCACCACGATTACCAAAATATGCTTAAAAAATTTTTTTTTTTGGTAGTTAAAATGCTTCTTTTTCATCATCATCATCCATCCATCCATCCATCCAGCTTAGATACTCTCTACCAACTTTGTAATAGGATCCTCAAAAAGCACATATGGGTGTGCTGGTCAGATGTCCACACACGTTTGACTGTATAGTGTACATACATAGTATTACCTTTGCGACACACTGCCACATTTAAGACCCCATCGTCCAGGCATTTGTCTTTCTCAAGGCAGAAACCTTCATTTTCGGGATTGTTCTTCCCACTGGCTAACACAGCACGAGGAGGAGTGTATCGATATGCTGGAATCCCCTTCACCACCACCTCTTTCTCAAACAACATGTGGATTGACCTAAAAAAAAAAAAAAAAGGAATTAAAAAGAATTAAATACGAAAAGAATAAAACACTACATCACTGTTTATGGACTGAGACACTTGATGAGGAATACATTTTTAAACGTTTATGTTTAGCTGTTTGAGAATAATAATACAGATCATTTCATCTACCTTAATTTCATGTATATTAAAGAGATGTCATTATCACATTGTATTAAAGAAATTTGGCTCTGGATTTTCACATTTAGCCCACTTGGCAATAAAGATGAAATAGATGAAAAAGCCCAGATAACTTGTTTGCCCCTCAAGTCTTTGTTTTGCTTGCAGTGTTTAGAATCGTGGGAAGTTATAATTTTTTCAGACAGGAAAATTAGTTATGAGATAACCCTTGAGCACAGCAAACTGTTTCCTGTTTCCTGTGTCAAAGGAACAAAATAAATACGTGAAAAGTCAATGGGATGAAAACAAACAAGCATTAATGGAAGTGCTTTATTCACTACTTAGCAATGTTGTGATCCAGTGACAGGCCTGCTATCGACATTTTATACCAGCTGTAAAATGAATTCTAAATACATAATTTTTGGAAATATATTATTTGAAGCATATATCCATAAGTCATTATATTAAGGATTATTGGTAATGATTCCTTGAAAGAATTGTTTTCCCAACTCTAATAATGCCTCGTAAAGCACCAATAATGTTCTATAAAGAATTCCTTAATAACTTATGTTGAAACATAAGTGTCACGATTCATTACAATATTTATTACTAAACCCAGTCGTAAAGTTTAAAGAACGAAAGATTATGAGCAGTTGGTCCTATGTTTTTGCCAATGGAGTGAGTACAAGGTTAAAACAAGCAAGGAGGTGAGTTTTTGCTGTCACAGATCCAAACACTAGGAGAAGAGCGTCACGGGGATTTTTTCCATGCCGAACAAAGAAGGGATGGGGTGTGCACAATTAGGGCAAGGGTCTCGCTGAAAATAAACCCTTAATTTTACCGTCATCGTAAAAAAAAGAAAAAAAAAAAAGAAAAGAAAATGAGAATGACAGACACCTAGGTTAGAGCTCATGGGTAACTGCTACATAATTTAAAACAAATAGCTAAACATACAAAATAACTGGAGGAAAATAGAAGCTCTGACTAAATTTAAAAAGGTTTACTGGAGTTGGATTCTGTCAACATTATAGTTTATTTGAGAGATTCTCAGCGTGGGGTCTATGCAGCACTGCCCATGGGTCCATGAGTTTGACATTTTTGTTATAGTGTTGGGAATCTCAACCCACCTTTAATCAAAGTTATTATATTTATTTATTATAAATTATTAACCTGTTTGACTGCTCATTTGAATAGAATTGTATTTAATACACCTGTTTTGTAAGATTTGTATCAATTGTAACAATCTCTGGATTATTAAAACAAATATAAATAAAGTGTCCAGTTCATATCTTAATGTCGAATCCTGAAATATTATCAAACATCATAAATATTAACTTGACATCATATACAACTATATATTATACTAATTAAGAGTATTTTCCATGAGAATCGAGTAGATTTTTATAGAGTTCATTAGAGTCATAATAACTCATTCAAGATGATTCATTCCAACATATTTCATTTGTTTAGTTTGTTATATAAAGCATTTTCTTTCCACTCGTTCTTTGTTCTCTCTCCTGTGGCCGGACTGTTATGGGGGATCTCAGCTGTCTAACTTTGGGCACAGTGTAAAACATGTGCATACTTGTGCATGGGTTCATGTGTTACACTCGGGACTAAGAGACCTAAT